CTCCGGACTAGGTGCGTTCCTCTAAGTCTTCCTACCAATATGACCAAGTTACGAAAACAAGGTAAAACAAACTCTATAAAAGTAATTATGATTAAATTTTTTAAGCGACATTATTTATTAATCTTTCTATATCAGGCTGGTATAATTTAACCTAATGGAAGATTACATTTTAAATATGAATCATAATACATATTCTCGATGATGATCCTTAGTTCATAAATGAGACTTGCAAAATGCCAATTGTAAATCTGTAAGCTGTCTTTGATTTCTCTTTATTTTTATCTGTATTTTACTATGTATAATTTAATATTCTTCAAATTTTAATCTTTAGTCCCTTATTTTGTGTAAATTACGTTATTTCTGTATTTTTATCATCTTTTTATACTATTCTTATGCCCGTATTAAAGTCGGTCTCAATCAAACGAGTCCCAGTGATGGTACCATGACAGACTTTGTCTCTTCTTCATGTGATTCCATTGTAACGATAACTTCACAAAGTTCGGAGGTCCGCAATTCAATTTCTTCAGGGCTCGATTCGGCAGTGGCTCCTACTGGCCTTGAACTCTCGGAGGTGACTGATGCAGCTACGTCTTTTGCTGGAGACACCGTAGTCGGCAAAGGCGAACGAAGGAACCTAGATTCTTTGATCACGCAAAATTTCGAAAATGTATGCCACATGACTTTCATTTTTGTTTAACTATGCATTGGCATTATATTCCACACCAGCTTGCATTTCTGCACTTACAACAATCACCTCGACAACTTTATTTTAGTATTTTGAGTTGGTGCAAAATTGATTTTCTATCTGTTTTATTAAATCAAAACATTCCATCCAAGTTTGCTAAATTTGTGAACAAAGCATCTTATGGTGTTTCCTATGTGGCTTTAAAAGTAAAAAAAATACACCTCTTATTCAGACCGTATATTCAAAGGCTCACTAAGTAAGGGTTCACAGATTAAGAAATCCTCTTTCCTCATATGTTATTGATTAAATCTGCCGCTAGTAATATGTTCCACTATTTAAGTTCTGAATTACACTATGATACATAATCCTCAAAATAATGAATACCTTATCAGTTCACGCTTACGAAGACTCATATTTTGCGTGATTACTTAAATAATAAACATTGGATTCGGCTTGGTAAGACATTTATTTGATATCTTATTATCAATAAGTATCGACTTT